CACACACACACACACACACACACACACACATACCTGAGCTGGAGGTGGGCTGCGCTGCTGGAGGGGCTTTTCGCCGCAACTTTTCTGAAGGTGCTCGCTCGTGGTTTTGGGGGGAGAGGCGAGTGTCCGGCGTCTCCTCTTACCTTCTTCTCTTCCTCCTGGAATGCTAAAACTGGGCTGATGGACATTTCCGAACTTTGCATCCCTGATCCTCTCAGCTATCATAACCAGTAGGTGCATCGTCCTCTTTCATGCACTAACATTGCTGCCTGTTTTCAGTGTCTGTGTCTGTTTTTCTGCTTCTTTGCATGTCTGTTTAGGTCGATAGTACAGTTTTCTTGCACTGGCTGAACTTTCTGCTGCTGTGATAGATGCGTTTTCATCTGCATGGATGCCGTGTTGCTTTCCACACAAATGTATGGTCCTCATGTCAGCAGAGTGAGGTTTAGAGACACTTTTTTACCCTTCTGCTTTAATAGGTTGTTTGTTTCTTGTAGTGTGTTGCGTGAGCATTTGTGTTTGCAAACAAGTCTTAAGGGTTCAGGTGGGACGAAAGGCACAGGACAGATGCTTGTTTATTAAATAAATGAGAGAGGTCTTTTGGGTGGTGGAGTGGCCCCAGAGGAGCGGCTGAAGGGGTCCAAGTGTCCCGGGGGCCGGCTGAGATCACAGCTCGCGCCAGGCTGTGGAATAATGTGCTCGCTTTATAAAGACCAAGAAGATGCAACTTACAGAAGATTTAGTTTTATTTTTTACCGAAATGAAGCTGCTTTGACTTTCTTTTTTTTATTCTTTTTTTTTTATAATTCTGCATGAAACACTTTTCTCCTGATTATCTTAAGGCACATCTTTATTTTGCATTTGAATTTTTTTTTTATGAAACAGAAACATTAAGGGTAATTAACAGTAATTCTACTCAAGGATTTTAAATGATGTATTGCCAAGAACGGTCATCTGTTCTTAAAACAGCATTTAACAGTAACTAAAACAGTTCTAATTTAAAACTTTATCAATAAAAAGTACAATGTGTGTTGATCCATTGATGGATTTCTGGATATGGATTTTTTCATTTACTCTCAGTAAGGTGTCACACCAGCAGCTCTGACATAATGAAATGGGTCGAATGCAGACTGTCTGTGTGTTTTGGGTAAATTAGACTAGATTACACTCTGCACACTTTAGTCACCCTAAACATACATTTTGAAAGCTTAGCTGTAGTTTTACACTAAGACGGATTACAAAGGTTCAAAAGAGCTCTGACGCATGCATTTCCACATCGCGTTTGCCATCCGAAAACCTTTATTTAGAATTACTTAGTCTCATTTATATTTAAAATTCATGTTTTTATTAAGCAACTCGTTTTGTGCAAATGACTCTCTCCACTGAAAATGTACAATCTGAAATAGTGTAAAACTACAGTGAGATTTTCTTTAGTAATACTTCATTTAGTGCTTTATGAAGAGTTTTTAAAATGCTTAAAAGATACAAAATATTTTTCTTTATTTATTTGTCTGTCATTAAATATGCGTCTCATAAATTTGACCGTCACTGCTGGTTTGTTACTTAAACACCATCATATTACACTTTTATTTGACCTACTGTATCAAATTATTTTGATACATAAATGTGTAAAGATGATATAATTATATCTCTTAATCTCTTTGCATAAGAAATAATAAATTACTTTTTTTTCATTATGAAGTCTGCTGATGCATTTAAATGTTATTATTAATATAGAGTGTTTTTTTGTCTAATAGAGGAACCTGCTTTAGGTTTTTGACTGGCCTTATTGTGCATCTATATGTTTATTTGTTTTAGTAAAAAATCCACTTTGTTTGGTTTTAGTTAGTTGAAGCATTTCCTAAAATATTTCAACAAATGTTGTTGAAGTGATTCGATAAAATGTGTGTTTTACATTATAAAACGAACACGGAGAGTATTGTCAGCGGCTGGCTGTGTGTGATTACGGCTGCTGTTCATTTACTGACGGACACTGCATGTGTGTGAAGTGAGTGTGTGTCACACACACTGTCCTCAGATGCACTGCAGCTCTGGATTCACATCGAAATGCCACCGGTTAATGTTTACTGGCACGTGTGCTGAGATTGATGCTGCTTTTGTTTGTAAACTGCATGCTGCATGCTTCAGTATTCATGTGTAGATCCGAGGCATTCGGAAACGTGGCGATGCAGCCGGTCACTTTGACGTCTTCTTTACTCAGCTGGGATATTCAATATGACCCGGGGCGAACACTGACTAGACGTATTCTCGCTCACTGCGGCCTCATTTCAGGCTCTCGGTCGGGATGACAGCTGGATTACTTTCGTATGCAGAAAACCTCCATAAGCACGGCCAGACAAATTCAATTGAACGATTGTTTGACTTCATTACCGAGTTGGCGGATCGAGCGCATAAAGCGCGTATCTCCGGCGTTTCCGTTTTCCCTCTTCCGTTTTATCGCATTAGGTTCGGAAAAAAGCAGCTGTGGGAATTGCATTAGTGCATCTTAAGTTAAAAGCTCGGCGGTCTTTGAGCAAGTGTTTCAGTGCTGTTGGGTTAATCAGATTTTTGCTGTCTGTGAGGAGATGCTATCGCGGGTAACCAAAGCGGCCGGCTCTGACACTATCCAGATGGGATCAGCTTACAGTAATTTGGTTTCAGAAAACATTACTCACACAGATCCATGGCTGTGGTCAGCCCACATATTCATGAGCTCTGGAGAGGGTTTCGATTCTTTCTGCGAGCCCTTCGCCGGCCAGCTGACCTTTGGCCAAAATGAGCACGCTTCTCGATTCGCCGCATGGTCTTTCAAACAAACACACAGGCTCTGGGTACCAGCGGGGGATTGTTTTTGGTGAGCGCAGAGTAATGTTTTTATATGCACATGCAGCGCGTCACTCACCTGCGATCTTTCCATTGCGTGTTTATTATCGACACATGCTCTGCTGAGGGTCTTTGGTGCTCTATATTTGTCATCTGTGCATATATCACACTCTAACACCTCTAACTCTCTCTAACCTGCTTGTTTTAGGCATCATAAGCTTGCATTATAACAACTGTATATCAGGAGACAGTATTAATATGTTTAACATCCGTGGAAGCGTTCCATTGCACTGAAGCTTCTTTATAATAGAAAAACGTTCTTTATATTATTAGAAAATGAACTGCTTGTTTATTAAAGGCTCTTTGAGAAACCAAAAATGGTTCTACTATGGCATCGATGTGAAAACACCCTATTGCAACCTTGAGTGTAGTGTGTGATGTAGCTGTCAAACAATAAAAGAATGGCAAATTTCTGAATAATGCATGTGTAAATTCCCAAAGTGAATGTGTATTGAGACAGAAGGGCTGTGTTGTAGTGCGAGCGCTGTGGTCTCCGCGTGTCTTGACGGTAGGGTCACTTTCAGCGCTCTCACACCCTGCGGCTGTGACCGAGCCGTCCGACATCGCCCATCCGTCCCCCAGTTCTCACCCAGGTAACCTTGGCATCCTGGCCACGCCGTGACAGCGAGTTTAAAAATAAACCCAGCTCCGTTAGTATGCTGAGGATAATGGCCCTCCAATGCATGCCACATGGGGGGTCTCACACACACAACGCACACACACACACACACACACACAGGTTTGTTTTTATGGTTTATGGGGACTCTCCATAGGCGTAATGGTTTTTATACTGTACAGACCGTATATTCTATTGCCCTACACCAACCCTACCCCTAAACCTACCCCTCACAGGAGACTTTCTGCATTTTTAGATTTTCAAAAAAACTCATTCTGAATTATTTATAAACCTTTTGAATTACGGGGACACTGAAAATGTCCTCATAATGCACCTTCTCGTTGTCATACCTATGTTATTATACAAATGTGTGTCCTCATAAACCACACACGCACACACACACACACACTCAGAGGAGACCACAGAGGAAGCAGCGATGCTATTGACAGCAGGGCTTGTCTGTAACAAATACTAACTTTAGCATGACAGTTTTACAAAGATATTTACAAAGTTGCAGTCTTTTAAAATCACCATTAAAAACTTTTCCAATTAAAACATTTACTTTTTGAAATCTACTGTATTTAAGCAATATCACAGCATTTGTTTTAAATTAGTTTTCATTTTTTTATATTTTCAGTCTTCATCTCATTTTAGTTAAGGGTTTCTGTTGTGTGTTTTTGTCTTTTTTTTAAAAATAGGTCTATATAGTTTGTATTCATTTTTATTTAAATTTTAGTTATTTTAGTAAATCAACCTAAACTAAATGAAAATGAGAAATTTGCTTTGGCAACTAGCTGAAATAAAATAAGTTAGGTTTTTATATTTTTTAATAGATTAATTATATATATATTTTTTTATATATGTATATATTTTATTTTTGTTGTTTTGTTTTAGTTATCTATTATAACCCGGGTCACATGTAAAGCTGCACATGCAATGGAATGCAAATATGCATCTCACATCGCTAACGTGCGGCCCGTCCGCGGCACTTGCTCTCTATTTGCATCAATCCCACGCACTGAGAGTAAATAATCCGAGCGCCACGTCCTGATTTGCTCGGTAATCAAATGTTGCAGGGGGAAAATGCTAAATCCGCTAATTTACACTTTGGAGAAGAGGGGAGAAAAAAACGTGAGGCCGAATGTCCGCGGGGCGGCACGCAGGCGTTTATCAGAGAATGGTATTGGTATTGAGCGGCCAGTCGTTTGAAGGTTATGTTTCTGAGCAGTAATTGAAATGCAAAATAACATTAGGATCGATGGTTAGCTCTGTTTATTTATGAAATCAATATAGAAACGGTCTGTCACCGTTGCGGCTCTGATTCCAGCTGACAGCCAGAGTGTGCTGCGTCCCGAGACACAGTCATTACCTGCACTGCTGGCAGGAACTGGGCGGGATTTAGGAAAGGAAATTATGTCGCTACAGGTGTGTGAGATACCCAGCGAGTCTTTTAGGATTCTGTAGTTTGAGACCGGATCTTCTGTCCCTGCGCGCTTGGTTTGCATGCATATCTATTAATAAAACAAAAGTATTTTATATCAAAGTTTGGGGTCTGTAAAATGATCAAATGTTTTTGAAAGAAGTCTCTTCTGCTCACCGAGGCTGCAGTTATTTGATCAAAAATACAGTAAAAATTCTGAAATATTATTACAATTTAAAACAACTGCTTTCTATGTGAATCTCTGTTAAACTATAATGTATTTCTGAGATGCGCAGCTCTATTTCCAGCAT